CCCAGCGCCAGCTGCTCATACTTGGCCTCGCGCAGGGCGCTGCCCGCCTGGGCCTGGGTCTCCAGGTGGGACATCTCCTTGAGGATCTTGCAGGCGGCGAGAGCGGCGGCCACGCCCTCCTGGCCCTGGGAGGTGGGGTCTGTGGAGGCCGCCCCAGCCCTGCCCCTCCTCGGGCCGCCCTGTCGGGAGCCCTGGGCAGCGGCGCGGGCGCGAGGGCTGCGCTCACCATGGCCCAGAAGTAGGTGGCCATCTCGTGGCGGCCCTGCAGCACGGCCCACAGGAACAGGTCCCTCCAGGGGGTCTCGCTCTTCTGGCTCAGGTCCAACAGCCCCTTCTGGCCAGTGGGCCGCTTGGCCGGGCCCTTCTGCAGGACCAGGGCGTCAGGCCCCGGCGCCACGGCTCCCGCCCGCGCTGCCCAGCGCCCTCCAGACCCGCGCTGACCGCCTGGTAGAAGCCGCGGCAGGCGTCGTGCAGGAAGTCCTTGAGCAGCCGGGAGACCTCGAGCAGCGAGAAGGCCGGCTGCCCCGAGGGCGGCTCCCGCGGCTGCGGGGCCAGCGCCAGGCGGCCCTCCTCGTGCTTGCGCCGCAGCAGGCCGAAGAGCAGGCTCCGGGGCGCCACCGAGCGGTACAGCTGCTGCAGCCGCCCCAGCGTCAGGAAGTCGGCCACGTCGGCGCCGTTGTCCACGAAGAGCCGCACGAACTCGGGCTTGTCGCTCACCAGCGCGTCCATCATGACCTCCTCCAGGTGGCGGGACTGGGGGCCGCGCACGCTGAGCGGGCTGAGCCGCGCAGCGCGCCTGCCTGGCCTGGGGTGCGCTCGGGCCGCCCCGCCCCCCACAGGGCCTGAGGGCGCAGGGCCCGCACCTTCCACTCCACGTCCCCGTTGAAGATCTCGCTCCTGGCGATGTCCACACGGTCCCAGGCCACGGCCAGCTTGAGCTCGTCCAGGTAGTCCTGGGGCTCCTGGCTGTGGCTCTTGCAGGCTGCGGGCCCACAGCAGGTGGGCAGGTCCCCCAAACTGGGGCTTCTGGAAGTGGGTGCCGCGGTGGCCCCGCCCGCTGCCCTGAGCTGCCCGGCGCGAGGAGCCTGCCCCCAGGGTCAGCACTGGCCGCACCCAGGGTCCGGAGCCGAGGGCCAGGCCCTCCCGGCGCAGGGAAGGGCCGCGGTGGGGCTGCCCCTCGGGGCCAGGGGTGCTGAGCTGTTGGGGGCCCAGCCCGGAG